GTTTCTTAGGGTTGGCGAATTATTACAATGTATTCGTGCCAAATATGCATTAACTAAGATCACTCTTAAATGAATTGTTAAGGAAGGACCAAAAATGGGTCTGGACGCAAGAGTGCGAAAAAGCATTTCAGAAAATTAAAGATATATTAACTTTTGACTTGTTTCTGGCACATTATAATCCCAAGCGTGATATTATAGTTGCAAGCGATGCCAGTGCCTATGGCATAGGAGCATGCATACTACACAAAATGGATGATGGAAAAATAAAACCCATAGCCCATGCATCCCGTTCACTTTTACCAGCCGAAAAGAACTACTCGCAAATCGAGAAAGAGGCGCTAAGCATTATATTCGCAGTAAAGAAATTTCATCGTTTCTTGCACGGTAGACAATTTCTGTTACAAACAGATCACAAACCTTTACTAACGATTTTTTGGATCGAAAAGGACTACCACAACATACGGCGAATAGACTCCAAAGATGGGGTACCATTCTTCTGAATTATAATTTTCAAATGGAGTATGTACCATCTAAAAAACTTGGTCATGCAGATGGCTTATCAAGGTTAATACCTAAGCACACAGAACCATTGGAGGATATGGTAATAGCAGCCATTCAAGCGGAAGTTGAAGTAAAAAATACTTTATATGACACGATAAGAGAACTTCCAGTAACACTTGATGAGATTAAGAGTAAGGCAGAGGTGGACGAATTTATTATAAGCTCGAAAGAAAAAATCAACAGTAACCAACTGGATGAGGAAATTTATTCAATTTGTGATAAGGTCCTGTTATATAGCGACAGGGTCGTAATTCCTACGACATTACAGAAAAAATGCTCAAGGAATTCCATGTAGGACATCCAGGCATATCAAGAATGAAAAAGCCTTATGCGCTCTTTCGTTTTCTGGCCAAACATGGATAAGGATATAGAAGAAAAAAGTCAGGGAGTGTAGAGGATGCGCATTAGCTATGAAAGCTCCTCCGACTCAATTCGGATCGTGGGCAAAACCGGACCGACCTTGGTCGAGAATTCACTTGGATTTTGCTGGACCGTTAGATGGTTTCTACTATCTCATTGTTATAGACAGTCTATCTAAGTGGCCGGAAGTACTGAAATGCAAGAACCCACATCCGAGGGGCAGCTATTAACTTCCTGTATGAACTATTCGCTAGGTTTGGGTTGTAGACTGCATTGTCACAGACAATGGAACGCAATTCACGTCTACCGAATTTAAACATTTAAAGGTTTCAGTTCGAAATTCCAACCACCTGAAGAAGGCCGGAGCGTACAACGGCCGAAACGTTGACAAATATGGCGACAAAGATTAGGACAATAGTCCGACTAATGTAAATACTGTATATTTATTGTTGCACCGGCCTCTAATACAAGGGAATTACACCGGTTCTCACTATATATAGTGCCAGTAATTCCTACCCGGTGAAAGCAGCGACAGTACTACAACTGCCTAGCTGAGTAGTACCCGTTTCCTACCTTTGTATCTGTGATGTTAAATACACTTGTTCTTTAAACCAACTTCGACTTGATTTTCTTATTTTTACTATTGTGCCACGACACAACATTTATATATGTTGAATTATTATAATAATAATATTCGCATATTCGTCGTCTTGGTTATTATAAACACGACGTTTCGACTGTTCTACATTCTGGCCTCCTTCAGGTTTTTGACTTTCGTAACTTTATTACGATTTCAAATCGAACCTTTTATTCAATACAAAGTTGTAAATTATTTTCATTCTGGTTTCCGTGTTCAGGGGAGATAACTCATGTCACTAATTGCTTACTCGTTTTATTCACCTTTTTTGTGTCGTTTCGTCCGTTTGTTCTACTAAACCAAAGTCTGTAACTTTCAGCACTACCAGTCCCAGGGATCGATCTCAGAGCTTTTAATCAACGTTTTAATGCAGAGAGATGTGGATGTTAACAAAGTTGTTCATATCTTTTAGGGGAAGGTGCGTGTTCAGTATTATAAACAAAGAAGAAGAATACAAAAAAAAAAAAAAACTTGCGCTTCTGCTACGGCCGTTTATTTTATGTTTTGATTGAATCAAAGTTAAATGTCTCTTGCTTGAGTATGTCCGTTTGCTATTTTTGGTTCAGAAATAATTTATGGGAAGTAAGGATAAAAACGGGTAAAGATGGTCGAGCTCAAGTCAGACGAATCTCTACTTCATGAGTAGGGCTACTTAAACACGTCCGAACGATATCGGTGGAAAGAGAAAGATTTTGTCCTTTCCGGATGTGGAGTCATAAAATTTGCACATGTGACCAGAAACTCTTTCCAGTATAACTTGCATAATTAGTTTTTTTTATTATTCTTTATTATTAATTTATTTCAGTTTCCCACAGACACAAACTTATAGATTAAAGCATAGGTTAAAACATATCGTATTCCGTGAAGGTTGTGAGTTCGATCCATGGGTCTGGTAGTACAAAAACGTCACATACTCTGGTTCAGTGAAAGAAACGGACAAGTAACACAAAAGTGAAAACAATTGTTGACTATCAAGTACTATGAAACATCCACCCTAAGTATAGACAGCGAAATGTCTTAGTCTACTAGAGACGAATCTACGACTCTATACTAATTCTCGAAGCAAGGATATTTACCTTAGCCCCCTCCCCGCATGGCAGGATGTGACACAAGGCCGTTTTTAATGCGAGGCCCAAACCAACCCAATCTGGGTTCTTCTCCTGTCCGTAGGCAGAGAGTTCGACCAGTACAACTGGTAACCTCCTTGCGTCTTAGTAGCTTTATTGCCTTGATGATTGAGGTGAAATGATTAAAAAAAAAACTATCCCATTGTCTTCGAGTATGATATGAAGAAGGCCGTCGGACACAACTGATGAAACGTTGCGAGAAGAATAATTGAATACTGAATATAATAATTTTGTTTATTAGGAATAAGAAAAGGAAAACCGTCTGGAAAACCTAGGTCGATTTTACATTCTACTACCGTAAATTAAATAGCATAATTTGGAAATAAATTGACATTACAATAAAAAAAAAGCAAGGAAATCAAAATAAAAGAAATATTATGACGACGTTTCATTGAGTTGCACATTACTTTGGCCTTGTGTCTAGAATATGCTATTTGACTTTCGGGCCGACTTTCGTTTCGTCATGGCGTTCTTGTCTCATATATCAATTCGCTCGGAAATAACAAAATATGCCTTCCAACAGCTAAGCAAAGTATTAAGAAACCGAAAAAAATTCGTTAGAAATATAGAAAAGTTTACTGAATTGTTATGCAAGATCACTCCTCCAATATGGCAGTGAATGCTGGACAATCTCCTCACAAATGATGATGAGACTTGAAGCAACAGAAATATTGTCCTACAGAAGGATGTTGAGAATATCATGAATTGAACATATAGAAATTTTGGAGAAAATGGAAACAAAAAGGACACTTCAACATCAGGAAGAGGCAGTTGAAGAGACGATGAGAAAAAAAAAAGTTTTGAAAATTTGATGCCCAACAGAAGATTGAAGGCAACAGAAACAGAGGAAAACAAACTAAAACCTACCTGGCGAGGTTGAGTAAAAAGATGGCAGAGCAAGTTTTAGGAGTGATAAGATAAAAAAAAATATTAAGAGCTTCAAAGGAGAGCCATGATCGCCAGTCCTGAACGGGCACAGCCCATAGAAAGAAAAAGAATGAGTTCAAATGGATGTCGGAACAAAGTTTATTAAGAGCCGCAAAAGAAAGGAAATTGTGGAGAGCCACAATCGTTAACGTCCTGCAGAGACACGGCCCATAGAAAGATGATGATGAATTACAGACTACAGAATGTGTGACACGGAAATCCTAAATGGCCAGGAATGGCGGCTTCCAAACAGAAAATATTGGGCGCCCATTAGCGCAAACGCTTAGTTTATTTATTTATTTTTTTTTTTCCTTAAATGTATTTTTCAGGAAAACAGCTTTTCACAAATCCATTGTTATCGCGTTTTCTCATATGGATGGCAGTTTCTTTCCTAACCTTTTGTCTAAGGTAGTGTGGAAGTCATCATCTTGGTTATATCATTATTTTCTCTCCTAGTTTGCGGATTTGCCGTTGATTGATGAAATAGCGACTCTGAATGAGAAATCGGAGAGGCGAGTTCGAATTTCAGTCGGGTTCGTTCCATTCACTTAATGGCGAATATCCTTGGGAAAGATGTGAATCCATCATTGCTAATCTAAAACAAATTTTCACTGCAATATTCGCTCGGAAAAAAGATTTCTTCTAAACTATGTCTAGGCTGCATAAACCACAAAATGTTAAGACGTCAAATAAACAAAGAAACAATTCCATGCACTTCGATTACGATATGCTATCCATTTTAGATGTTACCGATGTTGGAAGTCTTCAAGTAATGTGTTTTTTTTTTATTTGATCAAGTTCTTTGTTTGTGATTGTGTAGCGTCAATCTATAGATTATGATGAAGGATTATCTTCTTGGAAATCGAGAGGATTCATTAACTTGAAGCCATTTTTTAATCCTTGATCTGAGAAAGCGGTTGTATGACATTCGAAGTGGAGAAAAGAGTGCTGGACTCTTATACTATGTCTAACTTTCTATATGACATTAAATATTGGACAATTTCGTCACAAGTGGAAAATAAAAAGACTAGCATCAACCGAAATGTTATTCTACAGACGAATGGTAAACAAGAATCATAGACATAACAAGCGACAAACGAAAAAGTCATAAGGAAATTAGTAACTATGAAGAAACGTTTACTAACAATCAAAAATTGATTGATTTGTCTTTTTATCGCTTATCGATCTGTTGCCGGTTATTTAAAGCCAGAAATTCTTTTACATTGTAAAAATGTTTTGGAGATAATAATGATTTACAGAAATAAGTTCTACTATTTAACCCATAGCTGGTAGGGGAAGAGGTGGATTCATGTCTTTCCCAAGAGTATTTGCCGAAACTCGATTTCCAATTCTGAGCCATTATTCATTACCAAACCCGCACATCCAAGCTTACAGCACCTGATATTCTCAAACGGTCACCCATCTAGGTACTGGCCAGGACCGACATTGCTTAACTGCGTTGATTGTACCTGAACCGGTAGTTCAACGGGATATGACCGTAAGCCTAACAATCAGAAACGTCAGCTGAAATTTTGAAGAAATCTGAGGAAAGAATGTTAGTTTAACACTCACATAACGATAACAAATGACCTACTTGAAAAATTTGCGTAAACGTTTTTTTTCACCGAATACAAAGCCATAGAGCCACTCAAGATAGAGGGAAATGAGGTTGTTGTTTAAGCCTAAGAGGAAGAGGAGGTGGTAAGAAGTGCAGTTTATGAAGTTATGTAGGAGAGATTATCGGTTAGCACTCGACTTGAAAATGTCAGGATTGTTGTGATTAAGAATGGATGAAGGAACAAGCACCTTAAACTAAAAGTGATAGTGTATGACTGAGAGCCAAGGAGACCATGGAGTGCCATTATCGCCGAATTCCTGAAGGGACATAGTAATAAAAAGAGAGAGGGGGGGAGAAACGGAGTTCTTATAGGGTACCACGCCTTAATGATTAGACACCCTAACTACACTAAATAAATATCATAAATTAGTAGACACTCGGGGGCAAATAAACGTCCCCCGCTTGTTAATTTTTGGATTTTTCCTCCCCCGGATCTAATTAATTAATTCCACCCCTCTTATTACTTTTTTACTTTTTGTGTGGATATTGCAACTTTGGCAAAACTTCATTGAATAATTTTGTTTAATTATTTTTTAAAGCATTTAATTTTCAAGATATTGATAAGCATTCATTGTTACATTTATTTCTCCGAAAATCTTATAAAATTTGAAAGACTTCTTTTTAATCATTTCCCAGAACAAACTATTAATTTTCTCATTTTTCCGCACCCCACCAAGTTTATTACATTTCCTGTTTTTTTTTTGTTTGTGCGCGCACGTTTTTTATTTCTTACCCTAAACAACTTACAGAGAGATTTTAGCAAAATGTCCATATTTAAGGACAAGATGGTCTAATAAAACAATAAAAAATGTTTACCCAGATTTCTTCTCCCTCCAATTTTTGTCAAACTTCTACCCTATCAAATCGGCCCTTACGAGGTTCTAAATTCTTAATCTGCCGTATCTTGTGCGATAAAATTGCTTACAAGAATCACAGCGACATCATTGAAACTAGATATTTAGCCACCAGGACCGGCGCCATATTGATTCTAAATGTTTAACCATGTGTTTTTATTACTGCTCCTTGTCTACGGCCAGTTTTACTAGCTCCAGAGGACATGGTTGATGATAGCTATAAATATATATACAAAGTTATTCTTATCTTTTTTTTTGTTTTTTTGACTCCTATTCTTTTCCGCGTACGCACGTCTAGTATTATTATACACACATATCTCCATATCTAGGAATACGTATAGGTTTGGACGCTTCGGGTGGTCCTCGCTCGCCTGGGAGTTAACAATGAAATAAAGATAGGCTTTCTTTTAGTCGTCGTCTTCGTTGATCCAAATCTAAGAGGCTAGAGGTCCTGGACGGAGCAGTAGGCTGTCTGCGATGGGCTCTCCAGCTGACATGTCATGCATTGAATATGACTGTGTGGAAACTCCTCCCAATTTAAAAGCAGTCGTCTGCCTGACTCAGACATTATGAAAATGACAGTCCTTTTCTTTTTGAGTCAATCGTATCTTTTTTTCCATCTCATCTTCTTTCTGTCACGTTCACATAATTTCATTTTTTATTTAATTTTTTCGTTATTTTAAAATTTAATTCTTTCTTCTTTTTCAATTTTCATCCAAATTTGTCTCTCTTCCTACATAAATTTCCCACTTTCATTCCATTTTCTTTCATTCACTATTTTTCTTATCCAACTTTCTTTCTTCTTTCTTTCTAAACGTTTATCAATCTTTCTTTCTTTCTACTGGTTCTCTATCTATCTATCTATCTATCTATCTATCTATTCGCTTATCAATCTTTCTTTCTATCTACTCGTTATCTATCTTTTTCTTTCTTTTTACTCTTTTTTTCTTTCTACTCGTTTATCTGTCGGTTTTTCTTTCTTTTTACTCGTTTCTCTGTTGGTCTTTCTATATGTTTGTCTTTCTTTTTCTTTCTACTCGTTTATCTATCTATCTATCTATCTATCTATTAGTTTTTCTTTTACTCTTTCTTTCTTTGTCTCAATTTCATTCATTGACCGAGCAACCAGTACTGCTTTTAGTTGAAATCTATAAATATTTCACTTCAAACAATTTAATATGATATTTATTTTTCCTTCCTTTTAAAAGGTTACCTCCATTAATATTTGTTCTAACAGCTACGATTTTTCCTCTTTTTCACAATTTCAACTGAAACTTTTTCTAAACATTTTCAAACATTGGACCAAAATTTGTTGCATTTTAGTCGAAAAATCGAATGTTTTTATAAGGAAAAACTTTGTCAATTAAATTAGTAAAATGAACAGATTCTTTCATTTTTTTTTTAAAAATTTTTCTCTTAAAATAAAGGCAATTTTAGATTTTTATAAGCCAATTTGGCTGAACAAGATGAAATATTCTGTTTCAGTTGTCGATTGAATCCGATTTTTTCTCTTGAATAATTGAATCTTTGTTTTTCAAAATTCAATATTTCTGTCACTGAAACGTTTATTTCAACTTTCTTAAAACTTGGAGAGCTTCATAAAGAGACATGACATTAAAAGAAACCAGTTGTTGTATTTAAAAAAATTTTGTCACCGACTTATGTCGAAAGTACAGGTAATATAATGCATCTCAGATTTCAATGATAATGATAAGAATAACATTTGACATTCATTGACCGAGCAGCCAGTACTGCTTTTAGTTGAAATCTATAAAATATTTCACTTCAAACAATTTAATATGATATTTATCATAATAAAATAACGATATAATCAAGATGTTTGACATTCCACACCGCTTCAAATAAAAGGTTAGGAAGGAAACCTCCATTAATAATGGAAAGAGCGATAACAGCTACTGAACTTGAGAAACGAGTTTTCGTGAAAAATTGTTTCAATAGAAATATTTTCGAGATTTCAAAACTGCCCCAAATAATTTGGTCCCATAGACTGAAAATTCGAATGACGAATGGGGGTTTCCTTACAAAATGAAAATGTTAACTATGTTATATTGCCATTATTATTTTTCATTTGAGAGAAAGATTTTATGAATTTCAACCGCAGTAACGTTAATTGTTCGAGCAATGAATGCCGAATGTTTCCTTATAAGGAAAAACTTCAATGTCGGATCTACTATGAAGCTTAATTTTCAGGGCCTCTGATCTCATTGGGGATCCAAAGAACCGGATCAATCCTGATGAGAAAGACTTCTTTTTTTTTCCAATGACCATTCGGGCCGTGAATCTTTCAAATACAAAAATCGATGTTTTTTTAAAAAAATTTTTCTCATTAAAATAAGGCAATTTTAGTGATATTATTATAAGCCAATTTGTTGAAGTGGGCCTTTGAATATAATCTAATATCCATTCCATATGACCTCAAAATTCCCCTATAATTGATCAAAATTCAAGATTTTGGGGGTGGGGGGCTTGCAGCGCCTGAAACCTTTATAGGCTCGTTGAGTTTATCAGAATCTATTCATAGTCTACATTTTCGCAGTTGAATAATTGAATCTATTGTTGCTAGTTCTGAATATTTGTTCAAAATTCAGAACCCCCAAAATATTGGTCTGTCACTGAAACGGCTAATAATTACCATCACAGCAAATATTACCATTGCAATTCATAGATAATAAAGAAAAGGAATCTGTGGAGAGCCGTGATTGTCTCCACCTTGAAGAGACATGACATTAAAAAAGAAACGAAAATAAAACATGATTCAAGAAACACTTATGTTGTTGTATTTAAAAAAAAATTTTGTCGTCTTTTACACCCTTTTAACCCTCGGCAACTGACTGCAAGCGCTCCTGCAGGATCTTGTCGTCAAAGCCTTTGCCCTTTTCAATATGGTGGGGAAACGGTGTTGTTTGTTACGACCGTCATTTCATTAATTGTGCGACTTCAACCTCGTCTCCATCCAGACCGGGCGACTTGCCTCCAACCTTCTTCAAACCGCGTAGCTCCCCTCCCTTCGCCATTTAGTTTCGAAATTCCTGATGTTTCATCCCTTCGGGGTTTTGATTTTCTCGCCACCTCGACAATTGTCACCGCTAGTTGATCTTCTGAACCCTGACTAGAGTTTATCGTTGAGAGCCGACCATTTGTCTCAAGGGCTTGACATTTACAATCAGATCTGGGCGAGCCGTTTGCTGAAATCAGTCCAATTCAGCGGACAAAGCATGTCTGTTTGACGATCAACCAGTCCAGTAAGTGATAACATTTAACGAAACGGGCACAAACGAGTTTGTGGTCCAGTTAAATGTGGCACTTTTTTTCGTTTTTTTTTTTTTTTTTTTAAATCAGAATATCCTTTTAAACGAGACCGAAATTTTTGATCAGATCGCCAGGCTACGGCTTTTGGAAATAATCTCTCAGGATATATGACATGCAAGTTTCAGCCACAATGAACGACTCGAAACTTTTTCACTTTCTTTTTTCTTAATTTAACAATCGGATGGCCGTTGACCTCAAAACAAAATTGATATTGAATTAAATAAAAAGTCGATCGCGGCAATATCCACGCCGAACGACAGGAGATCCCGGAGCAGGCGGGCCGCCTTTTTCAAATGGTTTAGGCCTGCAAAAAAAGAAAGAAAAGAAAACATGCAAAGCCTATCACATTTCGTTGGTAAGGACCCGACGGCCTGTCCCAGATTTCCGGTTCCTAATTCGGTCGTCAAACCGTCTAGGGACATACGTCCGTGGGGTAAACCTTTAACGCCCTATATAAGGAGGGATGGAGCAACACGGGGACCCTCAAACTTTCTTAGTTTGTTAAGGTAACGTCATATAACCTAAAGACGCCACACCTTCAGTTTTGCTTATCACTCCGGGGCCTAAAATATCGAACAAAAAGATGGCCTGCTTTGTCATTTTAAATATTTCTGCATCATTATGATATTTCTTTTGTTTTTCTGGGGAGGGAAGAGGGGCAATCAAAATGGAATAGTCCATTATTTACGACCGATCTTCT